TTATAAGGACTATCGTTAAATAAAAACTGCAACATTTGAATAAGTTTGTCTGGGAGTGTTTTTTACGTGTTTATTATTGATGAATAACATAACAATAGGCCTTTAGGTCAGCCTGCCTTTAAATTCAGGCCAGGAATGGTAATATATTTTACAGGAGCACGCTCCTCGTGGCTTATGTTGTATCCTTTTTTCTATCTAGTAAATTTACGGTGAATGCAGGAAGGCATTAATAATAAATCGTAATGTGATATGTTCATGCTTTACTCGTGATTTATTAATACTTACTCTGACACTCCACAACTGTTATAAAAAACATTATCTTTTTGGTCGTTGTACTAATAACAAGAAATGCGCCCGTTGCAAACGAGAAAATTTATATTCAATTTATTTTGGATGTGGTGTCAACTTTATTTTTATTTTTACAGCGTCTTACCTACCGGCGGTGATTTATATGTATATTTATTAAATTCCGAATGAGCAAAGCTAGAAAGCAAACGAAAATGCTGCATGTTCATATTGTGACAAATATTTCAATTGCATTTGTAATATAAATTGCAATGGAACAAAAAGCATGGCTTACTTCCTGATAAATTGTAAAATTTAAATTAAGCCAATATTATTGAATTTTTAACAAATAGGTAGTGCATTTAAAATCGTAATTCTGTCGATGTTGAGTATAAATTATTTAGCAAATATTAAAACTATGGATGGACCCATCCGCTTTTGAACAATGTACCTACAATGTACCTACCACGTGGTATTTTTAGTAAGACGTTGTATATGATGTCTTGAGCTGAAATAATATATAAAACAGGGTTGTTCTAATCATTACGATAGCTACAAATAAGCTTAATTTATAAATAAAATAAAATAGTATATTATGTATCAAGTTTGATACGAACTTAATTTATGCACGAGCGAGCTTGCGAGCTATATTTTTTCTACGACAAATACATATCTTAAAATAATATTAATGAAATACTTAAAAAGAGCGACATCTATAAAACAATTCAGTAACCAACTTGGGAATCTGTATTATTATTTTCATTGTAAAAATGTCAAATTTTTGTGTGTAAATTGAAATCCCTTGATAATGGACCGTTTAATCTGCTATAGAAGCAGTTTTTCACCACCCGAAATTAAGTTAAAACTAGTTTACTACCGGCGAAATTAAGGAGTTAAGGAACAACAATGATTATTCCATAGCCGAAGCATTTTACCAGCCAGACTTAGTTTATTATTCTCTCTGTCTTTATATTGAAAACAACGTTAGCCGGCTTGACAAATTTGCAACACATCTTCATTCATGTAATATCACTTTTAACCGAAGGCACATGCCCATTTGTTCTTTTATCACGTATGGTAATTTACCCCCTACGACAAGTGATATTGCAAAATGACGTGCCAGTGATAGCACATTTACATAATGGGGAAAATATGTCGTAATAGCAATTCACCAATTTTAAAAATTTACACATGTGCCGTGTTCCTTCTACATATAGTGCAATATTTACAATATTAAGCCGTCTTAAATATACGTAGTTAATTTATGAGTATATTTTTTTCATTCAATATTTAACCATTATAATTTGTCTTTTATATTTTTTTGTTGATTTTAAATTATTTTAGTTTGCAAATACGATAAAAATATTAGATTAGTTATCTATACGTAGGTATCTAAAAATATTTTTTTAAAGGTTATGTCGAAACCAATAGTAAAAGGTAGTTAGATTCGGTTTCAGCTTTTTGACATAGATGGGAATCCATATGTATTGTTAAAAGTTCTTGCCCTTTTTGTTTTTTTTGTGCTTCCATTATCAAATTAGTAGGAGGGTAGCAACTAAAATAAACATAAATTTGAAGCTCATATAGGTACATAAATATGATACTTTATTTTATACTTGACAAAGTAGTTTGATTCCTATGAACTTACTATAGTAAGTTCATAGGAATAGTTCTAAGGTACCTAAAGTACGTATTATTGAATTCTTACTTTACATAGACAAAATAAGTGAAAATATATGAAGATTTGGCAGCACTGCTGGCCAACTTTATACATTTAAATTAAAAAACTGCATTTTTACTTTATATATATATTACTAAAGTGATAAAAAAGACAGTAAAAATAAAATCAGCAAATTTTATTTCAATATAAAAAATGTAAGACTAATTGCAAAGTTTTTGGAGCTGGTACAATTAATTTATTTTATTTACGATCTTTCAAAGCGTTTTAAAGTTCAATTAAATTTAATGTTTAATGGCTTCCATTTTCTTTCTAAATTGATAAACTATATACCTGACACTGTAGCAGTCTATAACTTTAAACTGAACTTTTTAACGAATTTATAATGAAAACTTTTAAAAGTTTTATTTTTGTAACAACATCGTAATTAAATTTGGATATCTCTATAAAATATCGTTAACGATAAATTAGATAAAGGTAAGTTAAAGACGTGTCCAAGTAGCTTTTTTAGTGGATGAAACGTATCGGTCACTTATACTTGGAACTGTAAAGTGTATTGCCAAAATCTCTGCCACGTAGTAGAAACGGTTTTATTATGTGGAAGTGACTAAAATGGGGAACACTTTTTTAATGTCAGTTACGTTCTAACAACGTTCTTGGATTGTATACGTTTATACCACTTTGTGGTTACGTAACTATAACGTGAAGGTATAGTGGCCAAAACTTAAGTGAAACTTTCCAGCATATTATTTATCTTATTATCTTTGCTTTCTCTAAAACTGGACATTAAACTGACACTGAATACTTAAATTATAATGTAAGAATAAAATTTGCCAATAATAACTAATATTAAAATAATTGGACATAAAATTAACACAACTTAAATTTTATTGTCAAACGAAATATAAGCACGCCCCGTTCAAATGTTTTAATAAAAAATAATATAAAAATTTGTTAACTTGGCGGATTTATAAATTATTTATCTAGAGGCCACAAATATTTTCTTTATTAATTCTGATCACCTGAAACCAATAATTATGTATAATAACGTTTAAAATTTAGTGCGGTACTACCAGAATTATTTATTTAAACCTTTTTTTCTTCAATATCGACTATGTTTGAACTTTGAAGTGGTAATCCTATGCAAAACGTAAAAATCACTTAAGCATGTAGTAAGAACGGGGCAATCCATATTTTTAAATGATTTACATTTTCTGATTAAAAAACCCAACTTTTTTAAAGACGAATAATTTATGTTTAAAATATGATCAGAAAATGTAAATTTATTATCAAATGTGATGCCCAAATCTTTTACATTGGTACAACGCGATAGACTATTGTTGTTTAAGGAATAATTGAAACCAATGGGACTAAATTTTAGAGTGTATGTACAAATTTTACATTTTGCGATGTTAAGATAAAGTTTATTTAAATTACGCCAATGTTCAATATGATTTAAAGTTTCTTGCAAACGTACACAATCCTGAAATTCAGGACCTGAATTGAGTTAATTTGCAAAAACACTTTTAGATCATCGGCAAACAGTAAAGGAGGGACATTTAATAGGTAGGTCATTATTAAATATCAAAAACATAAGTGGACCCAGATTAAAGCCTTGAGATACACTGAAGTTGCTGAAAAAAAGTTAGATATATCTATACAAAGCCATTATAAGAAACATAAAGTTGACGCTGGTATAAGTAAGACCCAAACAAAGATACTAAGGGTTCACTAAATCCAAAATTTCTTAGTTTGAGTATTAACATGCTGTGGTCAATCTTGTCGAAGGCCTTCGAGAAATCTGTGTATAATATAGTATCTTCCTGACTTATTCTATCAAAAGCATTGGCTGACTTATTCTATTAAAAGCATTGGCTATAGCCAATGTATACATATTGGGTAAATAATGACAAGTTTGTAAGTGTCGACCTATTGGCCATGAAACCATATTGCCTTGAGAATATCGATGATTTTACCAATGGATAGATACTGTTGTAAATACACATTTCAAAGACCTTCGCAAAATTGGGCAAGATAGCTATCAACATCATTAGACTTACCTGATTTAAATACAGGGGTAGCCCTTGTAATTTTCCATCTAGATGGAAAACTATTGGATTTAATAATTATATTAAAAATCTTAGTTAATGGCGTAACAAATACTTGAGCACAATCCTTAAGTAAAAATGCTGTAACCAGATCATCGCCCGTCGTAAAATTGCTCTTTATTTTCTTAATGGCTTGACAAACCTCTAAAACAGACAACATTGAGAAGTAATACTTAAGTGATGTGATTTTGTTGAAATTACTATTTATAATACACTTTAAAGTTGCGACAACTTTAAGGTGGTGTCAAAAGTGGTCATATCATCTCAGATACCAGACCAGAAAAATATAAAACTATGAAGTATATTCTACTGATGCAAATCACACTATGCTAACATAATGAGGATATTTTAACTGTATCGTAGTAGATTTGGTTATTTTAATGTAATTGCCACTCATTTGAAGTTGCGATATCAGTTTTCGTCACTATAATGCTACTTGGGAGGCAATTTTTGTAAATAAAGAAATAAAATTGTCTTTACATGGATTGTTACATTTGCTTCATAAATCATAAGAATTCCCATTTCTAATACCTATTTTATTTTTTCGAATTTATTCACTGGAAGTTTGTTAAGGAGACAAAAAAAAAGAAAATATACATTCTTTCTTTTCAATTACGTTAATGCTTTTTATTCTTTTTTTCTACAGGCTCACGTCCGCCCAATTTACATAACCATACTGCATTTACTTTCTTAATAATGATCTTGTTTTAAATAAAACACTATAAATGGTAATTTGAATGAAATAAAAGACACAAAGGCAAGGAATTTTTTAATACTTCCTTACCTGTAAAAATAAGGATTTAACAAAATTATATTTTTTTGCGTATTTTTCTTTTTAACGTTGGCACAAATGATTTTTAACAGGTGTGTCAAGTTAAGTTAAAAATTGTTTGTGAATAAATGGTTTTAATAAACATTAAACATATAAAATGTCTATTTTAAAAAAAATATTTGGAAGTAAGAAATCAAGCAGTTCTACTTTAAATGAAAGTAAATTATCTAAAGAACCCAAGAAAAATGAGGAGCAAACATCAGAAGAAATCATAGTTAAAACATGCAATTTCGATGAGTCATGCACAAATTTAAATAAAGATAAAGATGGTATGTATGTAAAAAGTTGAAATTGAAATTTAGAACCTCTTAAAAATAGGGTTACAGTACTAATATATTTTTGTCAATAGTTTTGGTTTGTTTCTTAAAACATAAGTTGACATTCTTAAAATAGTTAAAGTAATAACTTACTTTACCTTAGTTCCCATTGGAATAAATATCATGGACATTAAAAGAAAGAAAGACTTTTATTATTTCAATTGTTTTTAATTTTTGGTTGAAGCATTATAACTTTTAATATAAATCAACTTTATATTTAATTAAATATTGTTAATTTTAATACAATCATTTCTAAAAATTTCAAGGAAGTATACAGTTCCATTAGGTGTAAATATAAAGAGCCATTCACACTATAACAAGTAATTTTAACTTTTGTTATGGGCTGAATATAATATTTGTAATAACATCAATGACATATTTGAATGACTATTTCCCTCGTCTTAATTTCCACCAATCTCAAACGCGCAATTTTGAATTACAAATGGTTTCTAGGTGACTATTTCCCTCGTCTTAATTTCCACCAATCAGAAACGCGCAATTTTGAATTACAAATGGTTTCTAGGTGAAAAAACTGTGTGAGCACCTGTCAGCAGTTTTTTCGAGTTCAACCGCGGCAAAACTTGACAGCAAAATTGCAATTTATATTTTAATTGTTAACTGTTACTCATGAAATAGTCTTGTCAAATACCATTCGGGCATCTAATTTTTCCTGTGAAAAAAATCGAAAAAACACAATGCTAAGTAAAATTTGTTTAACAAAAAGCATTCGTGCAGGTGCAAAAATCCTCCTCTTCGACTCGGATTTTTGTTGCCACCAGCACTTATGCTTCCTGTTAAAATATTACTTAGCAACGTGTCATTTTTTTCGAAAACATTAGATGCCCTTATGATATTACTTACGAATAAACTTTAACTTTTATTGAAGAAATGAAAAAACAATCAATTATAGCATTGTTATTGACTATATCAAAGCGTTTTTTTTGTGTGATTTTGAAATAAAAATTACGAATTTTATCAGGGAGTTATTATATGCGGGCGCAAACAAGCTTGTCGATAAAATAAACTATACCTTATAAGGTCAATTGTCACTTTTATTATTTTAGATACACAGGTTTGTAAAGTTTGCCATATGGAATACGATGTTTTTAAAAAGCAACATTGTAAATGCTACAATAATGTTGCAAATCCGTTTAGTGAACCCTCAAGCACTAGTTCCGCTATAAGCAATGGCAGAACAAACAGGCGAAAACCATTAACCAGTTACGAATTAACGAAATTAAAATTTAGTATGGAAAAAAATAAGCCTAAATTTGATCAGCTAAAACATAAAATGGATAATATTAAAATATTTTATCCTGAAGTTTATAACATTCAAGAAAACATCATAGAAGTTTGGGCACAGGATAAAAATATTTTGGATATGGAACAAGACATATTAATGAATTTTGATAAAGAAAAAAAGGGTTTTATTTGGATTTAATTTATATTATCTCTGATAAAATGTTGCGGGTTAACATAATAAAATACTTCATTAAATATTATTTTAATAAATCAAATTTCAGTTACCAAAAACGGACCACAAATAATTTAAATCCATTTATAAATTAACAATCCGGCATTTTAGTCACGTATTTTGGTAATTTATATAATGATTTACACATTATTTTATTTAAACATTATTTTTATGTTTGACAAATGCATATTTTTGCTTAAAACTAAAAATAAATATGAAAACCAAACAAATAAAGATACATATTTTAAGGTCGAACATTTTATAAATTCAAACTGGAAGTAATTAATTTTCGATGTTTGCATTTAGGTATTTTATTATGCTTACTACCAGAAACAACCATTTTAAGTTTGTTTAAAAGTTTAAAATATATAATTTTTAGAACAAACCACTCTTATGTCCGCTTTTTAATCCTTTATGCATTGAAATTGCTTTCATTATCAAAGAAAATTCATTTCTGTGTATTTACAAGTTAAGAAAAACATGCCAACGTATTTGCAGTACAAAGTGTATAATAATGTTGATTTAAGTTCCATATTCCTTCTGGTTAAACATTGAAAAGAATTTTAAGTCAATTATCTGGCATTATGCGTGTATTATTTGTTCAGGATATTGAAATTAGTTGACTTTTAACTTATTTATTACGAAATAAAAACGTGGAATAATTGAAGATCCGCTCTACAGAAACTAAATTGGATTTAAGGGTTTTGGTTATCAACCAAAGCCTTAAAATGATTTTGAATTATAAATATAATCTCAAGTACAAAATATTGAAATAACACAATTACATACCTACGTAAACTACAAATTTTGTAAATATTGCAATAACAGTAATAGCGGACACTCACAGTTCCAACATTTTTGTCCGCTTATTAAACTCAATGTGAAAAAAAAAACTATTTTTAATAAAAAATATTAGAAAATATTCAAAAACATACATTCTACAACCATGTACAAATAATTATATTTAATTAAATATCTGTAAACAAATACTTATTTTATTAACACATACCTTATACCCAATTTATATGTTCTCGTTCTGCAACACCTCAATTTTATGTTTTAACGTTACAAAATTTGGTTGGCGCCATTTTTAGGTAAGTATAATAACAACAATAGAGAAACCTGCAGACTACAATTGTTACCTACCTAATTCTGTATATAAATTGTCAATAGTAATATTACAAAAGAGTAAAAATAATTTGACAGATATTTAGAAAACTTGTTGTCTGGTAATAGCCACGATAGGGGAATGACAACAAGTTTGAGAAATTTTCTGAAGATATATTTTCAATTTAATAAATTAAATTTATTGATCTCTCGAGTGGTATTAGAAAGACTATTCCACTCATTACTTTATGGACCAATCAGTTTTCAGAAAACGAGTGTTTTTTTCAGTTTTGCAGCGATAACACTACTATTTAGGTGACTATTTCCCTCGTCTTAATTTCCACCAATCACAAACGCGCAATTTTGAATTACAAATGGTTTCTAGGTGGAAAAACTGTATAACAGCACCTGTCAGAACTTTTTTTTGAGTTTACACGCGGCAAAACTAGACAGCTGTTGTCACCAAAATTGCAATTTATATTTGAATTTTACCATAAATAATTAAGTTTGTAGTATTTTGTGAATGAATTACCTATTTTTCAGTTTTCAAATTAATACCTACATATTTATTATGTATACATTTATTATAGGTAGTATGTTTTGTAAGCTATGTCTATGCAGAATAACTATTACTTATGAAATAGTTTTGTCAAATACCATTCGGGCATATAATTTTTCCTGCAAAAAAAATCGAAAAAACACATTGCTAAGTAATATGTTTTAACAAAATAAATTCGTGCAGGTGCAAAATTTGTTGCCACCAGCACTCATGCTTCTTGTTAAAATATTACTTAGCAACGTGTTTTTCCGATTTTTGTCGCAAAAATTAGATGCCCTTATGATATTACTTACGAAAAAATCACTCGTTTATAGAATAGAATTATTAGTTCAGAAAGATTGCAATGTTTACAATATTGAACACGTCCAAAAAAGTATGTATAAATATTCAAGAAAAACAATTTACTACCAAACAAATGTAACAAAATTGGGTACAAATAAACAAATACAAGAAAAACATTTAGTTAAAAAAATCATCAACGCACTAATCACATCTGTTTACAAGGTATGCTCTTAAGCAAGGTTTAAATTCCCTTAAACTAAGGTATTTTATTACTAGTATTGTTAAACATAAAACTGTTTTCTTGTAAACAATTAAAGTTTCAAAAATATAAAGATATGGTAGTGTTAGTGGGTTATTTTTTACAAACGTTTGCTTAAAAATAATTCTAATATTTTTTTTCTGAAAAATGGATAAATTTTTGTATGGGATAAATTTCCCCAAAAATTATGCCATATTTAAAATTGGAATAAACAAATGAATAATCATATAGGAATGCAGATGATACTACTTTAAATCCTCTACAAATAATGATCTAATAACTAATATTAATTTAATTTTATAAAAATATTGTCGTGGCATTGGATCAAATCATTTACATACAAAATAAATAAAAGTGGGGCAAGAATTGAGCCCTGAGGAACTCCTTTTTTTAACTCCACTGTGTTGGAATATAACTCCAACCTATTTTTCGATGATAATTTTACCCTTTGTTTTCGGTTGGTCAGATAGGATTTTAATATATTTATCTCAGTACACAGTATTCAGTAAAAAATGATGGTAAAATTACGGAGAAAAATATGTAATATTTACATAAAAAATATGGTGTTTCAAATAATTAATTTAAAAATTAATGCCACTTGCGAAATTTACAAGAAAAAAACAAAAATTGTATCGGTAAAATTTTACCACTGGTGATATTATATACTGTAAGGGTTTTATTTATTTTCCCGGGGAAAACTTTCCTTTTTAAAATTGGCGTCACTTACCTTGCGGGTCTTCTAATAAAATCTCGGGCCCCAACTTCAATGGTTGAAGTTCCACCGTGTGCGAGGGTAGCTTTTAAGATAAACAGTGGAGATAAAATTCCAGGGTTCAGGGTAATTTATAAATAAATTGTGTGGTTCGGTTAATACATACATGTATTGAAATAAGACCTCGTATATACAAAACAATAAAATTATTAATAAAATGAAATATGACTTTATAATAAGCGATGAGGAAATGATTAATGTGAAACTAAAATATAAAACCGAAACTGAACACTCAGTAGACGGCCCAAAGAAATAAATGTAAATTAAACGTGATGTTTCTGAAACAGACAAAAGGTTATTAGGGAGTCGGTAGGGATATTTTGGGGTTCTCTGGCCAAAAACCGAACCAGTTATTTTGGACGTCGCGACGTCCAGAAACAAAATCTCTTATAAAACAACTTAGGGTAATCACAGTTGGGTTAGAGTGGTCTTGGCATTAATTTAAAACCACTCGCCTAGCGGCTCGGGGTCTTAAAAATTAATGCCACTTGCGAAATTTACAAGAAAAAAACATTTGTATAAAAATCAAACATTTTATTGGTAAAATTTTACCACTAGTGGTATTATATTCTGTAAGGGATTTATTTATTTTACCGGGGGAAAACTTTCCTTTTTAAACTTGGCATCACTTACCTTGCGGATCTTATAATAAAATCTCGGGCGCCAACTTCAATGGGTTTTAAATGGTTAAAGTTCCACACCGAAAAAAATATATTCGTTGAGTTAACATTTGCCTAAATGTCATTTTTGAAAATGTTGTTTCAACAAAAAACCTATTGGATTAATCTATATTTTGGTGTCAAAGCAATAGTCAGAGTTTGTCAAAGTTTATTTGTTCATTTGACAATTTAAAATATTGATCTTACATGAACTAATTGTTTGAATTAAAGTTTTTATCCTATTTTGATTTAATAGCTGGAATTGGTTAAATCAAATACTAAAATTGTTGGGATTACCTAAAAAAACTATTAGATTAACGTTTAGTTGCTGTTTAATCCACAACATTAAATTTGTTCATTTAACAAATTGTAAATGTTATTTTAAAATTTAAAATGTTAAATTTGCATTCATAAAGTTGCCTTAACACTCTAAGAATGTTAAATTAACAAAATTAGCAGATTGGAACAAATATCCTAATTTTGTTCATTTGACTGTTATTTGTTGTTCAATTAAACAATACAATTTGACATTTTTAGATGGTTAAGTAAACGTGCAAAAACCATTGCTTGTATTTAAAGTGCATAAAGAGTTGAATTAATATTTTTTTTGTTGTTTCAACAGCTTATTTTTTTCAGTGCACCGTGTGCGAAGGTAGCTTTTAAGATAACAACTGTTTATTAAACAGTGAAGATAAAATTCCAGGGTACAGGGGAATTTATAAATAAATTGTGTGGTTCGGTTAATACATTTATTGAAATAAGACCTCGTATATACAAAACAATAAAATTATTAATAAAATGAAATATGACTTTACAATATATTCCAGGCAAATTTGTCAAAATACAATTCTTGTAACAATTTGGCCGTTTTGTTCCACATTATTTTGATCACGGTTTGCTTATAATCATCACCATCTTGCTTTTTTATGTTAAATGCGTAGTCTTTTAAAATATCGGCTATTTTTATCACTTGTGTCTTCTTCAAGCTTAGAACCTCGTTCCTCGCAAAATGTTTCCAAATGGACTCGTTGCTTACCAGGTATTCTTGCATGCATTTTCCTTTATTTTCCCATTTATTTCATTCACAAATGATGTAGTAAAACGTTTTTTACTCATATTTTTTGTTATTAACTGACAAATATTTGAACTGAAAAATTATTTCCGCGGAAATAGGCTCATGTGAATATTTCCAATATAATAATTTTTTTAGTAAAATTTAGATATTAAAGGTACAATTCCCACTTCCTTATAAGGATCTTTGTTAGCTATAGCTAACAAAGATCCAGGAAAGCTAGCACATTCCCTATGGCTGACGTGTGCTAATAGGAT